TGGTGCCCCGCTACCGTCAATGACTGCCCTGACAGGGAACACAACAGAGAGTCCCTGATGGAGCAGGAGAAAATTGGGATGCAGAAGTAAAATTCTACTAAAAAGACCAGATTTAATGGTCTGACGGAGACTGGAGGAACTCCGGAAGACATGGCCCCTGGACTCTCTGTTAGCCCAGAACTGAAAACATTCCCTAAGCCAAGTCTTCAGACATAGATTAGACTGGACTATAAGACATAAAATGATACTCATGAAGAGAGTGTTTCTTAGCTTAAGTTGATACATGAGACTAAATGGGCAGCTTCTGTCCAGAGGCAAGATAAGAAGGCAAAAAGGGACAGGAGCTGGTTGAATGGACACAGGAAATCTGAGGTGGAAAGGAGGAGTGTGCTGTCACTTTATGGAGAGAGCAACTAGGGTCGCATAACAATGTGTGTCTAAATTTTTGTATGAGAAGCTAAAACTGTAAACTTTCACTTAAAGCTCAATAAAAAAAAAGCATATGGCAGCAAATTACTAATATTAGTAAGCAAATTAGTAACCATTGCTTTACTTCCTTCAACTTTCAGTCTTATCTCTTTAGGGACTGCTGGAACCAAGTAAGAGAAGATGGGTGATCATATTAGGATGAACCATATGAAATCGCTAATATTAATTCAGTAGTTTTTGACAAAGAAAAACATCAATTTCATATAATCCAACCTAATATATCCTTAAATAAGTGTGTGTACACTTTTTAAATGTAAGGGTATTCAATTTAGAAGTATAAGTTTTAATTAAGATGTGTATTTCAATTTTATGTTTACATGTGTTTGTTTATTTTACTAATGTAGTTGAGTTCCTGTTATATTTCCTCAATTTCTGCGTTCTATAAATTTAATGCTGATAGATAGATCGATAGGCAGGTACGTAGGCAGGTAAGTAGATAGGTAGACAGACAGTTTCAGATTGCTCAGCGTTTCTCAGGAGTATTTCCTTTGTTTGCTTAAGGTTTCTACTGTGGTAAAACAAGCACAGGGAAATGACAGAAAAACAAATGAAAGATAGGGAACCCCAAACAGTAAATGGTATAATACAGGAATGGTCAATAGATTCAAATTTACCCTAACTTTGATTGCTGGCTGGGTTCTGCCTGGAGCTCTGTGATGATAAGAATTCATAGGCCTTGTCCAGGCTCTGGGAAAGAAAGCGCCATGATGGATTTGCCCAGTCTGCTATATTTGCAATGTCTGCCATGTACACAGGAGGCTGAGGGGTGCAACTCATACCATGTGTCTGGTGTTTCATTAGTTACTTTGATTTAGTTAGAGTTTCTTTGTTAATCAGAGTATTACATTTCTTCAACATGAGGGAGTATATGACTTTCGTAAGTGTAGTTTGGCAGTTCAAACTTTAGGTCAAGAAAACCAAGTTTATCCTGAGGTTCACCCTTTAGCCAAAGATTAGACAGGCCCGTAAAACAGAACGAGACCAAAGGGGCACACCAGCGCAGGGGTAAGGACTAGAAGGCAGGAGGGGACAGGAAAGCTGGTAATAGGGAACCCAAGGTTGAGAAGGGAGAGTGTTGACATGTCGTGGGGTTGGTAATCAATGTCACAAAATAATATGTATGCTAGCTATTTAATGAGAAGCTAGTTTGTTCTGTAAACCTTCATCTAAAGTACAATTAAAAAAAAAAAACAGAAAGCATCACAGGAAAGCAGACAACATGAGCAAAGGCATTTCTCATGCATATATTCAGGCTGTAAATTATTCTGAAGAAAATCACAAAATAAATTCTGGACTATTAACAGAAAAAAAAACAAATTTAATTATAAGCTATTACTTGGAAGAGTTCAGATAACAGGCAACAATACAATTCAGTTTGAAGTCTATTTCTTTCATTTTTTTTCCTCAATTTTTACCATCTTTTCAATTCAGCAATATATATATATGTGTGGATATACATATGTATGTGTGTATATATAATAGAAATGAGAAAACTTTTTAAATTTACGATCTTTTTTCGTTTGTAGGTTACTTTCTGATTCTAAACAGCTTGACATTTTAAGAAAAGCAAGATCTTATATAAAACAGAGAAAATATGCTGAGGCAGTAAGTATACAGACCTTGTATGTATGAATTGCTGGTCATCATTTTGGGGATGGGGTGAGGTATGGAGATGAGAGTAAAGTGGGCAGGCCAGGGAACTTTCTTGAAACCTCAGGAAAGGGTTGAATATCCTGAGTGGCTGCTTTAGCCTTGGGCATACTCCTCTTATTTCAGATACTATTATGGGTAAATTTTTCTGGGTAAACACTGGAAATGAACTTCTACTATGCCATTTTTTATAATGAGAAAATATATTCCGAGATTCTGTCGCCCTACTTAATGTATGGAACCCTGGTGGTAGAGTGGTTAAGAGCTCAGCTGCTAACCAAAAGTTCGGCAGTTTGAATCTGCCAGCAGCTCCTTGGAAACCCCATGGGGCAATTCTTCTCTGTCCTATAGGGTCGCTATGAGTCAGAATCGACTTGATGGCAATGGGTTACTTAATGTATAATGTTTTATAACATATTTGTATATTTGGAGTTACCTATACACTATAAGAAGTCTAATGATTCACACTGGAACTTCGACTCTTCCCAACTCCTACCTTAGTCTGTTTTTCATCACTTGTTTTCTTTTTGTTAAATAGTCTCATGATTTTAAAGTAAGAAAGAATTTTATTTTTAGTTTCCAAAATGCCTATGCAATACTGTGTACTTCTAATACTTATTTTTGTTGTGGTTTTAAAATGGCAAGCCATTCTTCTCCTCTAAAACATTAAGTGATGTTTTATAACTGATTTGGGTAATCTGATATGAGAAAGTGAAAAATGATGAGGCATTTCAGTTATCTGGGACCTGTATTAGAGAGCCTCATTTCTTTTCTTGTGTCATCTGAAGATCATTTCCACAAAAGTGAATAACTTTAAAATACTGCATATAGAAAGATTGTTTACATTTAGAACACCCTTTCTTACCAAGATTAATAAATAAGTTCATTTTATTCAGGAGTTTTTCTTGTACTTTGCAAAATCCTTGAACAATTAAAATCTATTCTTGATCCATCATCTACAGTTACTTGCTCTAAATTTAATACAGTGATTTGTAGCAGCTTTACAATGTTGCTTTCTTTGAAATTTAATTTTTCTTTTTCTTTCCATGTGGCAAGTTATATTTTCCTTTCTCCATAGGTCTCCCTTTGCAAGGAGCTGATCCATCTTGCATTGAAAGGATTGTCCTATTATCACACTTACGACAGATTCTTTTTGGGCATCAATGTTGTTATTGGTTTTGTGGGATGGATATCATATGCTTCTTTGTTGATCATCAAGTCTCATTCCAGCCTTATAAGAGGTGTCAGTAAAGAAGTTAAGGTAGGTTCAGAGAATTTAATAATAAACATTCAGGTAATAATATGAAATACTAGGAGTAAGGAAAGGGATTTAATGAAATGTGTTGCATTCACACAATGTGCAAGTCGTTATATTAACCTAACACTTATTTATCTATCTCTTATTTCCTTTCATTGTGTTTGGTCATTTCTTTTCTTGGTTATCTCTATTTCTTCAGTTGGGAAAAAGATGTATTAAATGTGTTAGTAACAATGGCTCTGTAACTTAAAAGGGCTGTAACGATAGCTGTATAAATAATTTAAATTTTTCTGTGATATTAATAGTGTTCATTTTCTGTTGTTTCTTGTAACTATTTAGCATGTTATAAGTATTCCATATCTTTCTGTTACAGGTAGTCACAAAATTATCTCAGAGCAATATATTTAATTTTATCTGTTATTAAAAGTTTAGGAGCTAGAAAGTGATAAAATCTGTGGCTCAAAATGTTCCTTTTAAAATAACGTATATGTTGTTTCTGGAGTTATTCTCATCTTCTTTCAACTTTCTGAAATTCTTGTATACCAATTTCCAGAACTTTCTGTTTATCCTTACTTTAAGTATTAGCCCATAGTTTACTTTATTGTCAATGCAAAAAAAAAAAGAAACTCCCTGAACAAACAAAGAAAAACCCCTTGCTATGGAATCACCATTGCTTTCTTTTGTACCTCCATTTCCAGTGCTATTCCTTGATAGGTTTCTCCAGTCACTGCTGAGGCTAATGCAAAGGAGAAGTAGGGAAGGAGAGAATAAAAATAAAAGTAGTAATAGCAAACATCATCTATTAAAGAGTAGCAGTGTTGTGGGCATTTTTTAAAAATCTTTATATAATCTCACCTAAGCATTACCAACCTTGATAAGTAGGTATGGAATTATTATTTTCATTTTCTAGATGGGGGGAAACAAAGCCTCAGAAAAATTACGTGGTTTGCATATGGTCACACAGTAAGCAAGTGGCAGAGCCAGGATTTCAATTCTGATCTGTCTGGCTACAAACTCTTAATTATAACCCTACTTTTTGCAACTATGCCCTAATTGATCCTCATTTCTTACTTCCCTTCTGGTGACATTTTATGCCAATAGAGAGGATGTAGAAAAAGGAAAAAAATCTCATGCTTTTCCTCCCTAAATCCCCCTACTTCCAGGTTACAGTTCTTAATCCTCATCTTACTTAGCTTTGGCTAGCAAAGCAAAGGGAAAATAGAGAAAACAAGGAATGGATGTGAAGGGCTGTCAAGTCACCTCTCCACTCTTGGCTTTCTCTCTTTTTTCCATTCATGTATGCTCAACATCTTGTAAAGTCCCCAATTATACTCTGTATCCCTGTCTAACTCCTGTTTCATACCCTAGAACTCTTGTTCTTAGAATCATCACTTCCCTATATATGTGTCCTCACCCCAATCATTTGTATTTCTTTTTCTGACCCAGAGCATCCATGGGCTAGGTGGGCCCATGGAGGCCATCTAGTGTCTTACATTGAGGAACCCTATCCTTTTTTTTGGCAGGTGGTTGGGAGAATGAACCTACCATAGTTGAGCAATGGAGACAGAAATGTGGGTAGCAGGTCAAGTTGGAGCTTGAATAGATAGAAACATTATCCCAAGTGAAGGTTATGTCGCACAGTTCATTATGGGCTGCGTAGGCTTTTGCAGTCTAGCCAGGGAACTCAATCAACATTGATAAAATTATTTCTAAGGGGAAATGTGTTCAGAGTTCTAAACAAGTTACTTGCAAAGAAACTTTAAGAATGTAGTGCACTTTTAAGTTGACAATTGCCTAATTGCAAAAATTCCATGCTTTTCAGCTTTCTCTTCTGTAATGGGCTTCTCAAATGACAGATACTTAGATTTTTTTTTTTATTTTTTGAATGCAAACCTTGATTAATCAGTTGTAGAGCCACTGGAAGAAAGTAATATATTTTCTTCACTTTATAAAATCTCTTTTGAAAAAACCTGTCAATCAGCATGGGTTTGGAACTGTTTCAATGTTTTGTTTGATTTTCAGAATCCAAGCCGTCTCCTGCCATGTAGTTTTATAGTTATTGGTATTTTAGTAGTATTTTTCCTGCTGATTCAAGCCTGTCCCTGGACTTACTACATATATTGTTTGTTGCCAGTGCCCATATGGTATGCAGTTCTAAGAGAGTAAGTAATGCATCTTGCTACCTCAGTTTTCACTTCATTTACAATAAAATCTGTATTTAAAATAGACTTGATTTCTGTAGCATAGATAGTGAAGACATATTCATGATACCCTCAAATTGTCAAGTCCCCTTAATTCATTTATAGGTATGTAAAATGTTGTATATAAGCCTCCTTTTTGTTTTACCTTTCCATTTTAATGTCTTTTTTGTTGCATTGAGGTAGCAGTGACCTTGTTCCCTTCTTAGTGTATCTTTTGTAAGAAAAATCTGGAATAAAAGTAAAATAATTAATATTGATTGTACTATGCCTAGATTAACTTACATTTTGAACTTGTCTCATTGTCCCAGATTCCAGCAGAATGTTTAAAAGAGATTTGCATATTTTATTTCCATACATTTTGCCCTTCCTTTCCAAGCCATTATGTCAACTGGGATAAATGAAACCTTTAAATCTTGTATAACCCGTTGCCATCAAGTCGATTCCGACTCATAGCGACCCTATAGGACAGGGTAGAACTGCCCCATAGAGTTTCCAAAGAGCGACTGGTGGATTGAACTGCGGACCTTTTGATTAACAGCTGAGCTCTTAACCACTGTGCCACCAAGGCTCCAAATCTTTTGTAGTAATTTGTAAATACAGAGATTAGTTGATATTCACATATGCTGTGGTTCTACCTTTCAGGGCTTCTTACAAGTTGGACTAACAGTGGATTCTTAACATTGCAGAAAACATCAGAAGTAAGGCTCTCAGGCGAATTTGAAGCTCTTTTAAATAACACCACTAAAACATGGGTGATTCAGTGGTAGAATTCTTGCCTTCCATGAGGAAGACCCAGGTTTTATTCCCCACCAACGCATCTCATGCCCAGCTACCGCCTGTCTGTTAGCGGAGGCTTGTGTGTTTCTATGATACTAAACAGATTTCAACAGAGCTTCTAGACTAAAGACAGACTAGGAAGAAAGCCCTGGCAATGATTTCCAAAAATCAGCCAATGAAAATCCTATGGATCACAACAATCCAGTCCCCAACTAATCATGGAAATGGTACAGGATCAGGCAGCATTTTGTTCCGTTGTACATGAGGTCCCTGTGAGTTGGGGGCTACTTGATAGCAGCTAATAACAACAAAGCATAGTACTGGTCATCTTCACAGGGAACCAGGACCATATTGGAGATCTTGATGATTTCTGTATTTGCATCATTAATCTAGAATTCAAAGGTTAGTCTTGAACATCAAAGTATCCTCTGAGAAAACCAAACCCTTAAAGCAGAGCAGGGAATGAGAGGCCAGAGTAAGGGTTTTTTTTTAAGGTTGGCTAGCATGTACATCATCATGACACTATATGTATTTTTTATCCTAACTTTTGTTAACTACAGCTTTGACAACTTCTTTTGTCCTTTAAAAACATTAAGCATCTAAAGAATTAAAATTTCAATTTATATAAAAAATTAATATTAAAATGTTTAAAATATTAACTTTTTAAATATAAGGAAAAAAAGACACTGACAAAAGAACATACTGCTACTTCTCCATTTGAAAGAATAGGATTGTTAGATATACATGAATCAGATGTTTTTCTATTGTTATTTACTCTAATTTCAAAAGTTTTAGAAAGGTTTTATCATTTTAGACAATTCTACCCACTAAAGAACCCCTCCTGAATTTATAAATGTCCTAATTTTGAAGACAACATACATATTTAAATCTCAATGGAAAATACAATTTTGAAAGTATGTTGTTTTCTATCTTTATCTTTTTCATACTTTATACAGAAAATAAAAGATAAAAATTAACTTTTCTTTTAGGAAAAAAAATCTAAATTATTTTATAAAATCATGTCTTATTCTTCTGTGCTTATTCACTGTTGAGAACAAAAGAAACATTCTCTTTTTGACTGGTGTTGGCGTTTATTCTCTACATGGAACCTTAATAGCTTTGATAACATTATGTAGCCATTCTTTTCAATCAGAGAAAGGTCATAAACCAAATGATACTGACCTTTTATAATTGTTCATTTAATAATACACTATAAATGCTAAAGTTCTTTTTCTTGTGATGAAATATAAAAAGTACTTAAGTATAAGATACATTTGTAATGGTTATAAATTTACATTTCATTACAATTAATGTACAATTAGTGATATATTGGGTTTGGAAAAAGTTATTTAGCTCAGTGAAAAGGGGAAACTAAGATTTTCCCTACTTAGATTAGGAAAACCTGTCTTGTTTCATTGAGACAGGTGAAATTTAAATATAAGGTTAACCTTGGTGAATTTTTCTTTAAGTTTTCAATTTGTATACTTTTGGGTTCATTATATTTTATTTCTGATATTCTATCTGTAATTGTACATATCTACATTTAAATAAGATTGAACAAGACTCATTTATTGTCAAAACCAAGTAAACCTTTGTAATTATTATCAAATTAATTCAGAAATTAAAATTTTCCTGAAATACTTCCAGATTTCCAAAACAAAGTTCAGGTAAATAAAACAAATCTATTAGAGTTTATCTTAGTTTTTGAATAGTCTATAAATTGAAAATTCCTTGGTTTTAGATTTGCTCAAAAATTTTATTCTTCACTATATATGACCTAAGATTTTTTCTGTATAGAGCATAATAGTCTCTTTCTGTAATCTTTTCAACAGATTTCAAGTTATTCAAGACCTTGTCACATCACTGTTGACCTTTCCTCTGAGTCATTTTGTAGGCTATCTGTTAGCCTTTACCTTGGGAATTGAAGTATTAGTAAGTAATTTACCAGATTACAACATTTTGAGATTTCTCTCATATTTATGTAACTAGTGTTAAATGACCTCGTTTTTCATTTCTCCTTTGGAATGCATAACTAGGTTCTCAGTTTTTTCTACCGCTATATGCTTACAGCTGGACTCATTGCATTTGCGGGTTGGCCATTTTTCACCCAGCTGTGGACTCAAGCAAAGGTATAAGTACTAATTTTTTTATAGGACAGACTAGTAGCTACTTTGTTTGATGTGTGTTTAACTCAGGGAAATGTTCATTTCTTTATCAAAGGGGTAGATTGTGTCCTTATGTAAAGAGCTGGTCCTCATGACAGGAGAACTGAGGCTGTCTTTAAAGCTTCGGTGATTCCCAGTCTTTCGTATCACAATGAGCCAGTGATGTGCTGATTGAAATACTATAGAAGCAGAGCTGATGACGTTGTTCTCTGAAGCACTTCCTGAATTCCTTAAACCTCAAATATCTAGATGATGGAGTAGCTGAGGAATTGCCCAGAGAAGCCCCAAGAAGTGCAGTCGCTTAGATGGCCATGCTGTGAACTCAAGGCAGAGGCGTCCCCTCCCTCCTGACCCTGCGCCACTTTCCCACTCTTTAACAATTCAGCTTTCCTTTTTTTTTTTTTCTCCTAAGAAGTACATATTCATGATAAACTATTTAAAAATACTTTTACTCTTGATTTTCTTCCTTTAGCTAGTAGGGAATTACAATGTGCTTCCACGAAGAATACTCTCATGTTTCCAGTTTTTGATGGAGTAGCTCTGGTGGCACAGTAGTTAAGAGCTCTGCTGCTAGCCAAATAGTGGGCAGTTTGAATCCACCAGCTGCTCCTTGGAAACCCTATGGGGCAGTTCTTCTCTGTCCTATAAGGTTGCTATGAGTCGGAATTGACGCGACAGCAGTGGGTTTAATTTTTTTGGTTTTAGCAGGAATATAGAAATACCTTCTTTCTATGTTTGAGAATTTAAAATGATCTCCATCTGGGCTCAAGTGTTTGATTACTTCTGCAGGCCAGTTTTCTTAGAGATACAGTTAATGTGCAGTATAGCATAAATTGAATGAAGCACTTGCTTTGAAATATCATACCCAGGTTTAAATCCTGGATGTTTCATTTACTAGTCATAGGCCTGGTACTGATACCTTAATTTCTCTGAGCCAGTATCCTCATCTGAAATACTATAAATAATAAAACTGATCTCTTAAGGTTGTTGTGAGAATTAAATGAGATAATGCTCTGTTGTATCCAGTATAGTATCTAGTATATGACAGTCTTCCATCAGTAGTAAGTATATTACTTTTTCAAGTAAATAGTTGTAAGGTTTTTCATTTTCCTTCGAGTGTCATTGCCAGTTTTCTGTACCATATTTGTCTGAAGATGACTTTTTCTCTATTTTTAGATCACCTCACTGAGTTGGACTTTCTTCTCGTTGCTTCTGGCGGTGTTCCCACTGATGCCTGTTGTAGGACGAAAACCAGATATCTCTCTAGTGTATGAACAGTGTTTTAACTTTTATTCTTTTCAACACAATTGTTTTTCTCTATCAACACTATGAAATATGAACCTAATCTTAGTCATGAGTTTAAGATCACTTGAAGACCCTGGAAGTTAAAATACTATCAAACTACTACTTGTGATTTTTGGCATTAAGGATCCCTGGAGATGCATCTGGGCCTTCACAAACAAATTGTGCCAGATAGTGATAACTTAAAATGCCAGGAAAGAAAAAAATAGTAGGTTTTATTTCGTTTGTATAGTAGGGAATCTAGAAAAGGTTTCATATGAAAAATTGTTCTGTTGCCAAAACAAAAAGTTCTAAAACCCATGATGTAATCCCTGTTTCCTCTGCCTTCAAGCATGTCCACACTTAAAATATCTTAGAAAAATGAAATTTTTCTACTCTTTCTACTGTTCTCATCTGAATGTAAAGGTCTTCATGGGAGTGAAGTTTATTTACCTTGACAACTTTCCCACATTTAATCACTCAGACTCTGACAGAATTCTTCTATATAGCTTACCTGAATTCCCTATGCTGCTGTTATATTTATTTCTCCTCAGTATGACCCAAATAAGTCTGTAAAATAAACTTTTAACTTTACTTTTAAATTAAAATAAAAATAAAAATATCTATAATATAGCTGTAATATTCCTGGTACTCCAGTGCTCTAAAGTAAAAACATATTTGCCAATGAGTTAAATTCCAAATTATTAAAAAAGAAAGAGAAGAAGAGAAAAAAAATAAAGAATCTTAATCATACATGGTTATTTTTCATAAGATTTAATGATAATCTGTTTTGAATATATAATTACTTTTTTTTCTCCTTATGATTCTCAAAAAGCATATTTGAAGAATCAAAAAAGATAAGCATTATCCTAGGAATTTCTGCTTCACATTCTCCTTAGGTGTCCACTCCTGCCTTTTACTCTTTATTTTTGTTTTCTATGAACCAGTTCCTTTTCTCTTTGTTCTGTTATATTACTAGGGTCCAAAATCTGTCCAAACATAATTTGGGTTGTCCTTGGAAACACTGTGGGGCAGTTCTACTCTGTCCTGTAAGATTGCTGTAGTTGGAATGTACTCGGCGGAAACGAGTTTATATTAAATTTTTCGGAGCTAATAGAGCTCAACAATAGTACACTGTTTCTTTGATATTGATCACCTTTGACTTCAGGAACCATACTATGCCTAGTGTTCCTGGAAGCGAATCATTTGTGGTCCCATTACTACACAAATGCCTCATCCTCCTGCTGCACTTATGAGGAAATGCTAGCAGTCAAGCACTGACTGTGTCCTTCCCTTCCTTTATCCATGGCACAAGTTCAGTGATAGAAAGGAGCTGTGTGTCCTGCTAGAAATAATTGTTGTTGTTAGTTGCCATCAAGTCTGTTACGACTCAGACCATATGTACAAAAGAATGAAACACTTCCTGGTCTTGTGCCATCCTCACAATCATTGCTATGTTTGAGCCCATCTTTGCAGCCACTGTGTCAGTCCATCTCATTGAGGGTCTTCCTCTTTTTGCCTGACCCTCTACTTTACCAAGCATGATGTCCTTCTCCAGGAACTGATCCCTCCTGATAACATGTCCAAAGTATGTAAGACAAAGTCTTGCCATCCTTGCTTCTAAGGAGCATTCTGTCTGTACTTCTTCCAAGACAGATTTGTTCATTCTTCTGGCAGTCCGTGGTATAGTCCATATTCTTCACCATCATCACAATTCAAAGGCGTCGATTCTTCTTCAGTCTTCCTTATTTGTTGTCTGGCTTTCACATGCGTATGAAGCAATTGAAAATACCATGGCTTGGATAAGGTGCAGCTAAGTCCTCAAGGTGGTATCTTTGCTTTTGAACGCTTGAGAGAGGTTTTTTGCAGCAAATTTTCCCAATGCAATACATTGTTTGATTTCTTCCTTCTCTAAAAAAAATTGTACTTTAGATGAAAATTTACAGAGCAAATTAGTTTCTCATTAAACAGTTAATACACATATTGTGTTTTGTGACATTGGTTGCCAACACCACAACATATTAACACTCTCCCTTCTCGACCTTGGGTTCCCCATTACCAGCTTTCCTGTCCTCTCCTGCCTTCTTGTCCTTGCCCTAATGGGCTGATGTGCCCATTGAGTCTCATTTTGTTTTATGGGCCTGTCTTATCTTTGACTGAAGGGTCAACCTCAGGAATGACTTCACTGCTGAGTCAGAAGGGTGTCCATGGGCCATATTCTCGGGTTTTCTCCAGTCTCTGTCAGACCAGTAAATCTGGTCTTTTTTTGTGAGTTAAAATTTTGTCCTGTATTTTTCGCCAGCCAGCTCTGTCTGAAACCCTCTATTATGATCCCTCTCAGAGCAGTCCTGTTTATCAGGAAATGTCCTAATCTCACCATTGTATTTGACCGAGAGTTTTTGCAGGATATATTATTCTTGGTTTACAGTTTTTTCCTTTCAAGCTTTTATATGTGTCATCCCATTACCTTCTTGCCTGCATGGCTTCTGCCGAGTAATCAGAGATTAGTTTTATCATTTCCCTTTTGTATGTGACTTTGTTTTTCTTGAGCTGCTGTCAGGATTCTTTCTTTGTCTTTGGTTTTAGTGAGTGTGATTATAATATGTCTTGGTGGTTTTCTTTTGGGGTCTCTCCTATATGGGGTTCGTTGAGCTTCTTGGATGGTCAGCTTTTCATCTTTTACGATATTAGGGAAGTTTTCTATCAGTCTTTAGTGATCCTCTCAGTGTTTTCCATTTTCCCTCCTGTTCTGAAACTCTTATCACATCCAGATTTTTGCAGTGAACTAGTGTCTCTCTGGCCAAGAGACCGTGGCCCATTGGAAAGCGGTGTAGGTCTTGTACAGGGAAGGAGGGTGGGGAGTGGGAAAGCATGTATCCCTGATTACTGAGTGCTCTGTCTCCTGTTGGGAGCTCTGTGAAGTTGCCTTCTGTACTCCCTGTCTGTGTTCTTTGGTGGCTTTAGTCCAAGATGGCGAATCCATGCTGCATTAGCTGGTAGGGGACCTCCACTCTGTAGCTCTCCTCATTCTCTGTTCTCTTTCAGTTTCTTATTCCGTTCAGTGCTTGACTGAGTTCTTTATTCCTTCATTTGATGCTTAGGGTTCCAGGACTGATATTTGTATCTGTTTTACCTAGTTTTCAGGTCTTTGCTGTAAGGGATGTCATGGTGCTTCTGTCTATAGCTCCATGTTGGCTCTCAATACGTCATTTGATTTCTTAACTGCTGCTTGCATGGGCGTTGATTGTGGATCCATGTAGGATGAAATCCTTGACAACCTCAGTCTTTTCTCCATTTATCATGATGCTGCTTATTGGTCCAGTTTTCTTTATGTTGAGGTGTAATCCATACTAAAGGCTATAGTCTTTTATCTTCATCAGTAAGTGCTTCAAGTCCTCTTCCCTTTCAGCAAGCAAGGTTGTGTCATCTGCCTATTGCAGGTTGTTAATGAGTCTTCCTCCAATCCTGATGCTGCATTTTTCTTTATGTAGTCCAACTTCTTGGATTATTTGCTCAGCATACAAATTGAATAAGTATGGTAAAAGGATACAACCCTGACACTCACCTCTTCTGATTTTAATAGAAATAATACAGATTATAAATATAGATGCTTTTTTGTATGAATAAGTGCTCATAGTCATAAAATGTATGTTTCAGATATTGATGATTATTTGTTTAAAAAACCTCATTGCTGTTGAGTCAATTCCGACTCATAGCAACCCTATAGGACAGAGTAGAACTGCCCCCATAGAGTTTCCAAAGAG